GCTGAACTACCTTTTCAAGTCTTTCATGTATAAACCGTTGAAATGCAGTATATTTTGCTGGCCGCAGGGGCACCTCGTTTTGAACTATATTGCTGCTTTAAAAGAAGTCTGCAAGTAAAATAAAATGTGCTTGATTCAGTTTTTACTCTTTTAGAAACCTCATCTTACTCAGACTTTGCAAATCTAACTTCAGGGTTCATCTTTTCTTTTTCCTTCAAGAAACTTAGTGTAGTCCTTTTTCTCATTCTGTATACGATAGAAATGTATAAATTGGTGTATGATTGAAACAGTGACTTCTCAGATTCAGCTTCTTTCTTTTGATTCATTTCCATCTATGTGCTCTTAAAGAGAAGTTCCACCCTGAGTTTGCCTCGCCAGTTATACCTTTAGTCTGTTTTTGGAAAGAAACTGATGCCTACATTTTAGATTTCACTAATGACTACTTGAATAAGTTGTTGTTCTGTGAAGAACTTAGCTAGCTCTTAGATTTACTCAAACATATCTTTGAAGATTGAAGAAGTAAATAACTTGTTTGTAAACATTTTTGCTCTGTTGCAAAATACTTCTGTAAAGTAGGCTTTTTTTACTATTAATATTTTCACCTCTTAGGAAAAAAAATTAAGTTCAGGTGGTCTGTTTTCTTGCAAATTGTGCACTTCCAATTTGTACACAGATCAACTTACTTTTAAAAAACACCTACAAGTCTTCTTTAGCTTACAGAGTATCCTATTTTAAAGTATAAACCAACATTTTGGTCCTCTGTTACTTGTGATATATATTAAAATAGAATAATAAATAGAATAATAGTGACTTTTATTGCTGCTTACATAAACTCAATTTCCAAATGTAGTTAAAGAAAAAAAAAACCTGTTTGGGCATTAAGCCATAACTTAAAACATACCTTTTTGGCTAGAGACTTCAATCTAACTGGTATTCTTTTGCTCTTTGCAAAAGGTACTCCCTGCACCTGACACTTCACTATTTATTAGGCACTGAGCACACTCCCAAATTAATAGCACTGTTTTAATGTAAAAATAACAAAATAATAGGTACTGATTAATGCTCTTCAGTTTGTAATGGATGGTTATAGAGTAGGAGGATAACCTAAAGGATCATGAGTAAAATGCTATGATCTTCATTTGTATTGTAGCTGTTCTTCAGTGTCTGAAAAATAGAAGCTATGAGCCCTGTGCAATTAAGATAACATTTCAGGCATCATAGTTAGCTGTTTCCAATTAAGAGTTAAGATTTAAATCCTGAGAGTATATTAAATGAGGCTTTAAATCAATGAAGAGAGGGTTAAAAAAAAGCATAATGCTATTTGATTGCCTTGAAAGATTTTGTTTTCATAAAGAACATAAAAAAGGTAGTGATCAGCTGTTTCAGATATTTTGCTGATCTTAAATACTATTTCTGTAACTTTATCATATCCTTCCAAACATTCAGGAATTGGCTCACATTTGGCCCACCTCAAGACAACTCACAACCAAAAGATGGGAAGCAGTAGAACAATTGGGAAAACCAGATAGTGTGGGGCTGGATATGTACATTTTCTTATATTTACTGCAAATAGGGTAATGAAGGAAGAATCGTCTATTCTTTGTATTTCATAAAATAAAAGAGAAGTAATTTATTCAAAACTAATGGGAGGGGAGCTAATTTTAATGTTTGCTCTGTGGTTGATGCTTCTGCCTTTTACAGCTGTGTGGGTTTTTAAAATATTAAATTCTAAATTATTTTACTTGTTTTCTCCTGTTTCATTCCAGTTTAGCCTCTGTGTTGAGTTTCCAGAAGATATAAGAGGAATGTGTGATTAAAGTTCTTTTGAACTGTATTTGCTATGCTTGCAATTGACAAATAGCTTTTTTTTTTTTTTTTTTTTTTTTAATAGGATGCAGGACAGAAGAGATTTGGTGCTATTTCCTGTAATATTTGTGGAATGCTTTACACTGCATCAAATCCAGAAGATGAAACCCAGCATCTGCTCTTTCATAACCAATTCATAAGTGCTGTAAGATATGTGGTAAGAAAACTTCATCTTTTTAAAGACACAAGCATTATATTTTATTTGCTGGTACTAGTTAAAATTCATATTGCATTAAGGCATATTTAATAGATCAGTATCACAATAGGCCATAAATAATCCACTTTGTGAAATAATTGGGTTTTAGAGCTGTGGTAGAGAGGTTATCTGTAATATATAAAAATATTTAGTAGGATAGTGGTGTTTCATTTGCATTGTATTCTTTCTGTTAAAATTCCTCAATCCTGGAGGAGGGTGCAAACGTGTTAGGAAGACAAAGGAATGTCACTGTTCTGAAAATGATAAATACAGGTTTCAGTATGACCGGTGTTTGCAGCGGTTGCCTTAGTAGTCAGCTAAAGAGTTGATTGCACTATTTTTGTAATTGTGTAGTCTTAGATGACTTCTAAATTACCTTTTCTTAAGAAGCTAGGAATTCAGCTGATACCACTTTATTGTATATTGAAACTTTACTGAATTTATAGTTCGATTGTAGTCTTTAAGTATGAAGTCCAAAGTATTATTCCATAATTTTATTACACGTGCTCTATCTGAGTATATTTATCATATTAAAGCTCAGTTGTAAATTTTTTTGTGCAATTTAAAGTATATTGTAAAATCAGCTACTTCACACTAGCTGATGTTACAAGACTTACAGGAAATATCTGTTCACATGTCTGAAATCCAGTATAGAATCCACAAAGTCTATTTTCTTTATCATACATGTTACCTTCAGTACTCTACACTCGAGTAGATAAGACCTCCAGGATAACTGAACTGAGGCCACTAATTCATTTCATGTAGGTGCTAAATGGCTGTTGAGCTGCTCTTAAGTCTCAAGCTCAATTTTATCCCACTGTTCACAAATATAAAGATAACATCTTCATAGCTGAAGTGTTTGAAACCATCTGGTAAATAGTTCTGGTATTTGTTATGTTCTTGAAAGATTTAATCTGATAGACCTTAGCTACATTGTAGGGTGAGCCTGGGCAGACAGTATGATGGAACACAGTATGTTGTAAGGGCAGCATAAAACACATTTCCCCATTTTGTTCCTGTTTGTCCTTTTTCAGTCCTCTCCCATCTCCCCCACCCCTCCCAAGCACTCAAGTACTTTCAGATCTTGCATGTTACCAAAGATGTAACATGATTTACAGGAGATGGTGGTAGTTCTTTGGGACAGAAACTCACAGATGAGTTCAGTAGTTACTTAAGCTGCTATGTTCACGTAGGTGGGAAGTTTCATGGAAATTTGAATCTTCTGAAAGCTGAAAGAGCTGAAATTTCTCATTTGCATGCATGTCTAGAATAACAACATGATTACAATAAAAATGAAAGAGTGGACTGCCTTAAACCGCTTGTAGCTATATGTAAAGTCAGATATGCTTTTAATTTGAGAAAAACTTTCCCTGTTGTTTTCTCAGTTGCTAGGCATCTTTTAAAAACTTTACACAATGTGTACTCAAGAAAACTATTTGTATTGTCTGTTCAATGAGTAAACTGTTCTATCTCTGAAATCTTCTAAGACTCTAGTTACATTTTGCCGCACTGTAGACAGCTATAGAGCAATGATTTAGATGGTTATTCTATAACAGAAACTGTGGAGTTAGAGGCAAGGGAGGGAGTCTTATGAGTCTTTAAATGCCTCTCTGATTATTTTTTTTGCTTGTAACAATTTGATTTACACCTGTTTTCTGCATGGTTAGTAACTTTTGCCATGCTAAATAGATAAGTCTCAAACACATTTAATCTGTAGTCAGCAGTTCTTGGTTGATTGTACTGTGGTAATGTCTGTGATAGAAACTTCCTGTTTTCTGCATGGTTAGTAACTTTTGCCATGCTAAATAGATAAGTCTCAAACACATTTAATCTGTAGTCAGCAGTTCTTGGTTGATTGTACTGTGGTAATGTCTGTGATAGAAACTTCCTCTCCTCTTAGAAAATAATTTGAATTTTAGGTAAGCCTTCTTGCCAGTGGGTTAGTACACCAAGGACTAATTCTTAGAACCAAGACTTAATTCTTAGTCATCCAGAAACACCAGAAGAATCATCGCTAGTTATCCTATTTTTTCTAGGTTTCTAGTGGAGATTGTTGGAAGAATGACTTGGGGATGTGATGTGGTTGGTTTCTAGGTATTTATATGTAGTTACTGTGTTGAAACTATAACAACCTTCCTTTCTTAGACAGAAAGTGTTAACTGGACAGTAGCATCATGGGATTATAAAAATTGTACTACAGGAAGTCTTGGTAATTTTTTGGTGAGACTTTCTGGTCGAGGAGCATCTGTTCTTAATGACCTTGGTACATTACTTTATTAGCTCTCCAGATACTCTTTTTTATGTAGCTAATGTATTAGATGTAATTGTCGAAGGCCGTTCTAAGGTAACTTGGAAGCATTTTTCATTCTCTTGTCATTGACATTCTTCATGCTGTATGATGCAGTCCCAGTCTGACTTGAGAAGAATTTTTTTCAGTTTTTCTCCCTTTTTAGTGTCTAGTTACATGCCTAGGAATTCTGTTGATGATGCATTTCACAGAATCACAAAAAGAAAGCCTATATACTTTAGCATGCTAGAGATTCTTGCTGTGAACTGTGAAAATGGTCTTCATTTGGTCTTGCCTACCTGCATGCAGCTGCTTTAAAAGTACTGAGTAGCCAGAAGATAGTTTCCATGTGAATAATAAATTGTTTACCATCTGCAAGTATATATATTTTTTTATATTTTTTTAAGGCTTACCTTGCTTCTTCTGTTAAAAAAAAAAAAGAGCTTTTTAGCTCTCTAGAAATTCCACAATGCCCCCAGAAGGAGGACAGGCTAACAAGATGATATTGGGATACTTGATTGGTCATGAATGGCTGATAGGCTCAGTAAGGAAATTGCTGGCCTTGTGTGGAGAGAAATTTGGCAAGTTTCATGATGTTTTCAGGATATGGGAACAGAAGATAGGCAGTTTTCTGAAGGGTGCTGTTTGCTGCAAAGTTTGTGTCCAAATTTAGTAAGCAATAAGGTAAGGTGGTCAAGGATGGTACTGGAGCAGGAGTAGATTAATGAGAGGTGTCCTTTTCAGTAGGCAAATGTAGGAATCTATCTCACTGTCCTTCTGGTTTCAGACATCTGAAAGTCTCCAGAAAAAATACACCATTCTAGCATGTGTGCACATTGAGTGATGATATGTATATCATGTGTTAACTCCAATGGGATGGATAGCTTTATGGGATGCATACATGGTGAGTTTTATAAAATCCTCTAGCTATGATACCACACAATATAAATGGTGTATCCTCTCTGTGATACCACGTAGTATCAATTTAATATTTCTGCAGTTTTTTCTTCTAAGAGCGAGACATTATTTTTACGATGTTTTTAAGTTGCAAAGACAAATACTTAAGTTAGAAAATGCCTGCGGATTCAGGTGCCTGATGTGAGTGAAGCTAATGTGTTTGTACTTCAAGCTTATCCTCTTAGTTGAGAACATCTGTGGCTGAAGAAAGTGGAAGAAGGTGTTGTTTGATCTAATTTGATAAGTGTTAAGTTGCTATTCTGTTATAATTGCATCCAAGCCTGTCTGTGAAGTTCTTAGGATTTTTGTATTAAAACAAACAAAAGACAGCGTTTGACTTCTAGAAACCTAAGGCTAACAGGTTATCAGGATTGAAGATGATGATGAACTTCATGTCATCATAGAAAGTTTGATGGTTGTCTTAATTTTAATTAATTTCAGAAGTGATGTGTCTGTACAATAAAAAGCTTAATAAACTTTTCAAATAAAGTTGTTAGCATTAGCTATCTGCTGTAAGAATCTTAGTTTTAATTTAGGAGAAGGTAGTATTTAATAGTTACATTCAAGAGTCTTAGTATGTATTACAGCCAAAACCTTATTCTCTGTAGTATGCATGTGGGAAAGAGAGGCAGAATATCTGTAACTTGATGGAGTCAGGAGGAGGAAAGCAGTACAGCATTTCTCTGCTAAAATTATCAAGGGTAAAAAGGCACAAAATTTCATACTAAACTTGATTATTAGGGGGAAATTTCACAAGTGTGAAAGATAAGAATTATACAGTATTAGCCATGTTTCTTCACTGCTTCAATATTTTTGAGGAAAAAATAGTATTAGAAAAAAACACTGATTTTCTATTCATTTGGGAAATAGGGAGTGCAGAGAAGCCAGAACTAACATATACATACATATATATATATATGTATAATATAAAAATACCAGATTTGCTGTCCCATTTCTTACCCTTACATAAGAACTTCAGAAACATGAGGAAATGCGTGGGAAGCAGGCTTTTGTGTCTTCTCACTTAACCTTTTAAAGGCAAATCTACATCAGATATTATTTTAACTGACAGGCAGAGCACAGGTCATGTGAAATGGAGTGCTGAGCATTTTGGCTACCGTGCTCCCAGTGTTTGAGCCATCTTCCAACTACATGCTGCATCATTCATTATATACATGTGTAATATGCAGTGAGAGCAATGTACCACACAGTGTAGTTGTAATTACTGTCTGTACTGTTTCACAGTGCTGTAGCAATTGCTTGTCTGGTTGGCACTTCTTTGAATTATTTCTTTATTTTGTAATTTTATTGCCATTGCATCTTAATAAGCAAGAAGGAGCAAATTTTACTCTTGCTTGAAGTGGGAGGAGGTAGATTAAAAATTAATTAACTGTTCATTGCAAAGTTGCCTTATGTTCTCAAAAAAATACCTGTAGGATAAAGAGCCAAAACACAGATGGGAGGAGGATGTTGCGAGTTATGACACACCAGTGGGGCTCTGTACAGCACCAGTCTGCCCAGCTGCGGTGATGGGGCTGTATGTGCCTTGCTGCTCCTGGCTGTAGGTCATGTGTTGTTTGGCACAAACTCCCAGTATCAAGGAGGAGTGCTCTGGTTTCCTGCTGTAGTGAGGTGTTCTTGTCATCTGCGTGAATGAAGGAGCCCTACTTTAGTTCTCAATGATTGAAACAAAATACAGCAGTCTGCAAAATACTTTAAAAAAAAAACAGCAACCATAGTTAGGTGTGTTAAGGGAGCCTTCCTACCACATGCAAGATACTGGTACTAAAGCATATTCTGTGTATCATAGATATCTAATAGGATCAGTCCCAGTTGAAGCTATAGCACATTAACAGCGTTAATGTTAGAATATGAAAGAGCTGTGTCTTATCTTGTGCTTTACTTCCATTTGGTTTATAGGAAGCACAATTTCTTCCTTAGTAAGACTGAATAATAAGGATACTGCAGATGCTTGTGTGAAATGTTATTTTTTCATTTTGAAACTCTTAGAGCTGCTTCAATAACAAAGGAATATGACTTTAAAATGTATTCTCTGATGGAAACCAAATTAACTGCAAATCTTGGATAAACTTACGGTTTGCAGCTTTTTGGAAAACTTCATCTAAAAGATATTTCTGAATAAATTCCAAAATACTTTTTTAGAAACTGCCTGTCCTATGAATAGGATCAATCCGCATAATATACTAATAATTTAAGAAAAATCATAGGTAGGCAATGAAAATATGAGTTCTAAGTATTAGAGAATCAGTTATTGAGTTTTTATGGAATGTTTAAACTTATGCTAATACACTGTATCATAAAAGTGCAACAATAGTAAGCCATTCAGAAACTTTTTCTTCCATCAGATTTAATTTCGTTGGAAATACTGTTACTTTAGCCGAATGCCTTAACCTAAAATTGAGAATTGAATTTTTTGCTTTAGGCCTGCAACATTCTGGATTCTGTAACAGTAGAGTTACCAAACACATTACATTTATCTGCTAAGTGGTAGTCACGGTTGGTTTGAAATAGTCTATAGATTACCAGGCAGCAAAAGACAAAAAAGAGAGGACAGTGTTTGCAGTTGGAGAGTAGTAAATCTTGCCTGAATTTATTTACACCTTTTCTAACAGTCTCAAAAGGCATGTCACAATCCCACAAATTGCACTTTTCCTGCTTACATTAATATTGTTACACTGCTGTTTATGTCCTTTTGTGTTCAGACCATGATATATAAAAATTCAAATAGGATCTTCAGCTGTTCTGGTATTTAGTGCAACTATACTGAGAAGAAAAGCAGATAGGATTGAAATGGTGTCTGTGTTGCAACCATTGCCATGCTGGGTGCTAAAATTGTACATAAGTAGTACCAGGGCTGCCAGTGAGTAGATAAATTTCTAAAATTGTTCTCTTCATATCTTGTTTGGGATAAGGGAGTAAAATCAGCGTTATTAAAATGAGGTACAGATCAAGTATTAAACATGTAAATTTGTCCTTTTTTGTAGTAGTAGTAGTACATATGGCATTCATTCAGTGCCATATTCCATTGTTTGGTCTTTAGTTGAACATTATTTTATGGGAAGGTACAGATTTCAATGAGAATTATTCCATCAATATTGTTTCTTCAAAGGCTTTTTTATATGAAGTTGCTTTGAGTAAGACTTGTAGATCAGCCTTTTTAGTGGCTGAAGTTACTTCTGCATTCAGTATTTTTAGGTCCCATCAAAGCAACTTGAGTTCTATTATCTACCAGTCCCATCTTACTAGATTTAAGTGGCTTTTTTGTTTTGTTTTTTTCCATGCAGGTACTGCTCATTATTCACCACGAGTGTGGATCTGAAGAAGAGTTAATTACCTCTATTTTTTTGAGTATGTTTATACTTCAGATACACACAACGTAGCCTCCTTCCCTATTAGATTCTTAGAAGGTAGTTATGAAATTTTTTCTAGTATCCTTCTTGTGGCTTTAACAGTTATGATCAGTAACAAAATAAGCTATTCCTTACATTTTGGGCAACTGCATGCCAATCAGTTCACTTAGAACCTCCTGGAGGTCTTTCGCATGCCAAACTTTTAAAACTGAGTGTGTATTTGCGGAGGTAACTATGTTAAAAAGAAATACTTTATTAAAACTTAGGATTTTTCCCATTCAATTGACTTTGGAAAAGAAGTTTTACATAGGTTTGGAAATCAGTTATGTGAGCTGAGCTTGCTACTTCTATTTTAAACTTGAGTTTGCACTGCGGTCCTGGGGGAAAAAATCTAGTTGGGAATTTAGAAGATGGTTTCACAAATTATTTCTAGATATAGTTAGGCTATTGTATAAATCAGATCATATTATATCTGTTGTGCTCATTTTAAAAAGCTAGCTGAAGTTTTCTTCTCTAGCAAAGCAGCTGCTAAATAGTGTGAAGTCTCTGCATTAGTTCAGTGTATAGAACAATAACGTGGAATTTCTTTTTGCGAAAGTACACCTCATGTATGGTTTAGATAAATGTTTGTTTTATTTAGGGTTGGAAAAAAGAGAGAATTTTGGCTGAATATCCTGATGGAAAGATAATAATGGTTCTTCCCGATGACCCAAAGTATGCACTTAAAAAGGTAAGGTGAAAAGGACTTGATTTGTATATCTGAACTTGTTTGATATTTTAATAGAAGTAATGAGAATACTCATAGAAAGACTAGATAATTTATATTTGAGTAGTTGAAGGTGGGCTCAAAACTGCAGTGATTCCGTAGCTTTTTCCACAAAGAGGTCAGACATTTCACTCTGATGCGCTACTGCTCTCTTGATGGAGAGGAGGAGTCTGAGAAGGAGTAACAGGCAGGGGTGAGAAGAGCATCAACCAACTGAATCATATTTTTTTTTAACATTTTTAAAAATACACTTGCTGAATGTCAGCCAAGTATTTTATGCAATATAAAATTCCTATTATATTTAAACAAACTGAAATGTATTGACACTATTACACAGCATGAATATGGCACCATTAGTTAAATGATTTATGGATAAAACCAGATTTAGTTGGAAATCTACCTCAAAGTCATCTAGTCCATTCACACACCCAAAGCAGGATGAGCTGTGGTTATGATGCATCTGGCAAGTTTCTAAAACTTCAGCCACTGGAGGTTTTTCTGACCTCTTCAGACTGTTACAGTGCTTTGCTATCTGTAACATTAGGAAATTTTCCCTAAACTGCCAGCAGAATCTCCATACTGCAATTTAAGCTTATTAGTGCAAGTCATACTGCCACAGCTGTAGAAAACGTGCCTCTTTTTCCTCTTTGCAACAGCTTTTTCTGCCTGAACAAGCTCTGCTTGTTTCGCCTTAAGGAGATGGATGGGATGTGCTGTTATTTAGTTTGTACTGCTGATTTATACAGCTCTGATCATTGTCATACTCCCCATTATTTGCATTTGTGGCATGTCTCATCTTTTGAAACTTTCTCTAAAACTGAGCACAATACACTAGTGGAGACTTGAAGTAGCAGGGTGCTTTGGTGTCTTGCTGTTTAGCCTGTGTTCATGTATCTTAATATGTCATTACATTTATTTTTTCACTAGCATTGTATTGATTCTGTTTAGCTGGGGATTTGCTGTGACCAATAAGTACTTTTTTACAGTACCACTGTGACAGGATCACAGAATGTTTATGTTTGGAAAGGACCTCAAGAGAATTGATGAATTGATGCCTAAGACAGCTCTTTCTGAGAGCATGACCTTAGTGGGTTTTCTTTAGACTAACAGAATTTTTAAATTACTGAGTTCAAAAGAAAGTACCAATTTTCCCTTTACAATATTGAATGCAGTTAAGTTTGTTTATTGTGGGTTTTTTTCTTTGCTGGTATTATCTTAATTTTAGTATATTTATTGCATAATCATGTCTTACTAAATTGGCTGTGGAAAAAAATTACTTAAAATACCTAAGTTAGGCAAATAAAAGGAAGGCTGCAGTAAATGAAGTCATTTAAGATAGAGTTTTCTGTAGTTCTGTCTGGTTAAACTCAAGAGCATCTACAGCTGTCATCACTGTGGATGAATGACATCAAGAGTGGTTACCCAGAGTTTCAATGTGGCTAATTGGCCCTGTCATTAAAAAGCTGGTACCTGGCGGTTAGATGAGAAAGTAGAGAGTAACTGATACCATGCCTTTTAAAAGTTATTTTTAAAGATATTTTTTTACTACAGTTTTCATTTGATCAGTACTAACTTCATCTATTCATGGCACCTGTAATTCTAGTTTTGTTTTACTAATGTAACTACAACATGTGTTAAAGAAACTGATGCTGTTCCATGCCCTGCATAGGAAAGGTCACCTTATTTCTGTCTGATATGGGAGGACAGAGGCTGTCTCAGCGCCCCTTTGTAGGTACAATGATCGCCCAGTAAATTCTCAGCTTACACCTAAGCTTTTGTTTACACTCATGCTGGAGTTTATATATTTGTTCTAAACTTGTTAATATGTTGTTTTGTTAATTTTATGTTTAGTTTCAGTTTTTAGTTTTGGTTGCTCTTTGCAAAGCTGATGGAAGAGCAGGAAGTCTGAGGAAAGAGACAGCAGTTACTTATTCCTTTACAACAAATGCTTAAGTTTTCTAGCCGCCTTGGCACTCTGCTTGCTTTAATCTGCTCAGAATCCTTAATGGATTAGTTCTTGAAAGACTTAAAAGATAACAAACAGGAAACATTCAGCTAAGCTAGCTACCTTTTGGCATTGATCTCATTTACTTCTAGAATATCAGAGTCCACACTCTGCATTATCTCACATTATGCACACTCTGCGCACTCACGTTACTTGCATTCTCTCTGTTAGTGTTTGACTAATTTTGGGGAGCCATGTTTGTTATTTTTAGAAGTAGGTGAAGAGTCCAATTAATAAAATAAAAATACTGCTAATTTATTTTTTAATATGATTTTTATTAATTTAGCATTAATAAACAAGAGTTGCTTCTTTGACTGGAAATAGAGCTACTGGCAGGGACCAGGGTTACCAAAGCTAATCCAAAGTTAATAGAAGCTGACTTAGACGTGTCTACTCTCCCTGTTTCCAGCCAAGTATTATTTAAGAATAATTTGTGCAGACTGATGCATTGCAGGTTGCTTAGGGTAATTTTAAACTTCTGGAATAGCTTTTAGTGTTTCAGATACCTTAGCATGTTTTTGTAAATATATCTTTTTATGCAAATGAATATTTACCTGTGTTTCTTAAACAGCACTTAAACTTATTTTGACAGGTTGAAGAAATTAGAGAAATGGTAGACAATGACTTGGGATTTCAGCAAGCTCCACTCATGTGTTACTCTAGAACTAAAACTCTCCTTTTTATTTCTAATGACAAAAAAGTTATCGGCTGTTTAATTGCAGAACATATCCAGTGGGTAAGTGACTGAACTGAAGGAAGGCACTCTGTGTCAGTGCTTTGTGACTGTTTTCTTCAAACATTCTGAAACTTGATTATTACCTCAGAATTTATGTCTAGCCATTTAGCAAATTAGTATTCTGTGTATGCCTTTTCCACAGAGGAAAAGACACTTGGTGGCAGACCATTGTGAAATGTAGCTACTCATTTTTGTATTCTTGACCTGTGGCTGAGACACATGTATGGTATCATACTTCGCTCAGACCTGATCATCTAAGAACTTGCTGCAACCAAAGGGTCAAATTTTCCTTCCTCTGCTCTGTTTATGCTAGCTCTGGCCCTCCTCTTTCTTGTTGACAAGCAGCTTTGACTCCATGCATGGCAGAAATCCAACATGGATGAAAGAGTGGAAACTCTGTAGGATTGATTTGAATCACCGAGGGGTCAAGCATCTCTGCAGTGAACTGAAGCAGAGGGCAGAACTGTGCAGTGGAGAGCAGGACAAGAAGCTGTGCTGCCACTTGCAGCACTAAAAACTGGTGTCAGAACTTTGATTACTTGTTGCTGTTATTTTAAATTGGATAAGCTTTAGAGGGGTTTTTTTGTTTCTTTTCTCATCTGTTCCAATTTTGAAACTGTTAAAGAGAAATTAAAGGAGACAGAAAAACTCTCTTTTTGGTAAGGTATTTTAGCAAGTAGCTATGTTTAACTGAAACAAATGACACAATTATTGTTTTGTCCAGTCATCAGTGATACTTTTATAAAATAACAAATCTTTTTTACATCACTTGCAGGGCTACAGAGTTATAGAAGAGAAGGTTCCAGAAATCAGTTCAGAAAATGAGAAAGTCATATTTGAAAGACAGAAAGCCTGGTGCTGTTCAACTTCTCCAGAGCCTGCTATTTGTGGGATTAGTCGAATATGGGTATTCAGCATGATGCGTCGGAAGAAGGTTGCCTCTCGGATGATAGAGTGTCTGAGGTAGTGTTTTAAAAGTTCCTCGGTTGCCTTTGTTTTAGGTAGAACTTGGTCCAAGAGATTTATTGCTTTGTATGTCTCAAGCTTGTATTTTTAAGCTGCTGGTGAGAGTGGGGATGTAGATCTGAGCAAAGTTGACAGTTCCAGCATTATGCAGAGTTCAGTAACTAACCTTGGTGTTCTGCAGGTCTTTAATAGAAGTCTTTCTGCTAAGTGCAATTGCAGTCAGTCAGCCTAGCAGACTGCCAGTGGGCGTGGGTAAATTCCTCTGAGGTGATGATGAGTGAAGGAAATGAGACTGTCCTTGGTTAAAGCGTGAGATTACCGGAGTGTCAAGTACTGTGACCTAGTCATTGGCTGAATGTCCATTCCTTAGAGGTAGAAAGGGGGAAAGAACAGAGATGAGTGCACTGAACTATTTGATATAGTCTTGTGGCTTCCAACTGTGGATTTTTTTGTTGGGGTTTTTTTTTGGGTCAGGTTCACTGAACCTTTTGAGATATTTTCAATTTCTGTGGGGTGCTAGTAGCTAGTAATTAGTGTATTCACCTGAATGCTAAGTGCTGGATCCATAAAAAGAGTCAACTATCTGTTCTACTGTTTAGGTAAGTGTTAAAAGTATGGAATGTCCAGAACTCTAGGTTTCTTCCAGTGACATGTTCAGTAAGTTGGAATGCCTGTTCTGAGTGATGCCAAAGGCTACCTAAATCTTAACTGCTGCTGGGCTGTCAGGTTTCTGCCAGGTGCCAGGCTAGCTGCATCTTTCTGGGAGCTCATGACTCAGGTGCTCCTGTGTCTGCCAATCCTCACCCTCTTGGGTATTTGGAGATCCTAACAAAGCTGTTCTGCTCTGCAGAATGCATCTTGCTTGGCTAGTGGAGCAACTGGAAAGTTCTAGTGGATCGCGTTCCATCTGAACTATCAACTGTAAAGTTGATAGCATATTAACTTGGTGATTTGGTTTATATTTGACTGTTTTTTAATGGTGTATTTAGTTGCTTCCTAGTAACTGTTCCTAAAGGAAAGATTTCTTCCCCAGAGCAATGCAGAAGTTGCTCTCTCAGTTACAGCTCTAGAGGATCGTTAGAATCAATGGTTTGTTGTGACTTAGCAAGATGAGGTCTGTTTTCCTCTTGGCTGTGTGCTGCATCTTTTCCTGTCCTCAGGTGCCAGTTTGGCCTTCCATTAGCTCATTGTTATGTTAGTAGAAAACAGACTTGCCAAGAAGAGCTTTGTGTTATTCTGGTGCTTGGCTGGTTTGTAGAAAGGTCTGATGAGCTCTAGACTTGGTGTAGACAGAGAAGCCATGAAAGTTAGAAAAGGCAAAGGAAAGGAGTGTGGTTTGCTTCTTGACAGCAGTGAGCAGTTACCTCTACTCAGCTGCCAGTGAAACTTCAACCTAAATAAAAGTTTTTTGTAGCAAAAGGTAGTTTGAGTGGCATGATTCTGGTAGCCAGCTGAATTTGACTTCAAAATGCCAAGGGTGTCCTAGCAAACTTTTAAGTCCATTTTGAGAATGTCTGCCATGTTTCACCTGAGCTTTCACAGCTGACCTGCAGTCCCCAAACAAAAAAGTCAGGCAGTCCTGAGAATCTTGCAGAATCATCTTCCTAAATAAAGAGAAGGGAATAAAGCAGATAATTACAAAGGATTTTGTTGTTATTTGCATTTCCTCAAGATCTAATGGAGGCATCGATGTGATTGTAGTTCATACTTGCTCTCAAGTAAGTTTATTTTATAGGAACTAAAAAACTTCAGTGGGCATTTTTTTTTCCCCAAGGATGAACATTATTTCTCCTTCCACTTACCGAGTGGAACTGAGATCAGTTTTCTAAATTTGCTCACCCAGCCATCCAGGAAAGTACAATGGTATCCCTTGACTTCTCTCCTATTTCTTCAAATAAGAATAAAACATACATGAAATATTTCCTGAAGGCGTTAAGCAAATGGAATCTTCCTTTTTGTGTAGTTATTGCTGAAAGTGTATCACTTAGGAATTAATGCCTTAAGGTTGCGTTCTAAATTAATGTAAGATATGCTCTCATCCAAATGTCAGGTGTTTTTTTTCAAACCAGGAACACAGAATTTCATCAGGTCCTTCAGCACCCTAACTTGTTTGTCCCTTACATTTCCATTCCTAGTGATTGGTGCCAGTCCCGGCAGTTGATTTTCTATGAAGAAGTAGTTGGAATTAATTCAAACTTTTTTTTAAACGCTGAAATTGAACTCCTAGTGAGCATTTCTTTTAAAACACCAGAACTTTATAATACCTCTCCCAGCGGAAGTGCTTCTCCTTGCTGTTTGGAAGGACAGGAGAGCCTGTGCAAATAGAACCATCAGCTGATAAAACTTAATAGAAGTTCTTCCTTTTGAATGCCTTTGCCACCCTAATAGCATGAATATTCTTGCATTATTTCCTAAGGGCAATTATTAATTTATTTATTTTTTCCTTTTAAACAGGAGCAACTTCATATATGGCTCATACTTAAGTAAAGAAGAAATTGCTTTCTCTGACCCCACTCCTGACGGAAAACTCTTTGCAACACAGTACTGTGGCACCGGCCAGTTCCTGGTGTACAACTTCCTCAATGGACAGCACCAGACTTAACTGCTCCTGAAGGAATTCCCTTTTTACTGGGAGACTTCTGCCAGAATGCACCTTCAGCAGAAGCCAGGGCCATTTTTATTAGTGAACTCAGGACTGGTAACAACCAAAAAAGGTTGTATACTATTTTATTAAAATTGTAAACAATGCAGTAATAGGCTAACTTTGTTTTTTTAAAAGAAAGATATTTTATTAACTTTTACAAAAGTTTGATTGTATTTTATCTAGTTAGTCATGTTTACATGCAGCAGAAAAATTGTTCATAGTGGACTGTAAAACTAATGCAAAGACGAGTACGTGCTGAAGTTCTTAACCTGGTGATATACCAGTGCCTGAGGCTGAGCTGCTGCCCCGGCCCGGGCTGGGAGGGGCCCTGCCTGACTGGGAGGCAGCAGCGTGAGGGTGCAGCCCTGCAGGGGCACGGCCCTCCCAGGGCCTCCTCCGCCTCCTGTGCCCCCTGGCTGCGAGGGAGCCTGTCCGGTGCTGCAGCCCCGGAAATTCCTTCTTCACTCCCCCCACAGTCGCAGTAAAAGGTGGGACGCGAACGCCGAGGGCCGGCGCACTCGTTTTCTTCCAGTACTGTACTGAGTATATACCTTTGTTAGTGGACTTCACTTTGATACTTGTCACCCCTTTGTAAATCTCTCCTCTTTTAAAGGGTTTGTATGTTGAAAAACTGCTGTGGCCTTTCTCGATCTGTACATAATGTAGATAGATTAAAAATAAAATACTTGATAGCTTTTTTTAAAGTTACTCTGTACTAAGTGTGAGTTAATCTTTAGTGTATCTCTCAGTTTTGCATGTGAAATGTTACCTTATGGCTGAGGGCTGCATATTTTGAAGCAGTCTCTGGACAACACAGTTGCTATATTTGTACCTGGCTGAGATCAGAATTCCCTTTGTGACCAGGCATTTTCCTCACACCCCAAGGATCAGTGCCCAGTAGCAATACCATCCTGGTTAGACGGCTTACAGTAAGCTGAGAGGTGATGCCTGCAGCCTTCAACAATAGCTTAAACCCCTAATATAAGATGGGAAAGATTTAATTAAATTGAAACTTAGGGTTCATTTTAATTTTGGAACCTAAATGCAGCAGGATACAGCTTATATTGTGCTGTCCTTAACCTTCTTCTAGAGCTACAGCAAAGAACTCAACAGCCCCTCCAAAATGTTGTTCAGAGCACTAAAAGCTGAAGCAGCAGAAGGGTGGCGATTTCTGGGCTGTAGAGGCTGCTGTTTCCAAGCTATGACTTGTCATTTTCAAGGGCAGTGTGGGCAGACTGTCAAGGGCTTTGTCACACCAGTGGTGTGGCTTCACAGAAAAGCCAAAGGAGATCCTCAGGTGGGACTGGAAAGTAGAAAGTGCTGAGGTGCTTGTGCAGCACTTGACATGTGGCTGGATCAAGCCTATTTTTTCAACTGCTTATACTTAAAGTGGCCCAAAGTTGGTACTTACAGCTTGTGCACCTCTGCTGGACAGAAAGCTGCTCTCCCAGATCACAAGTACCCAGTGTGAAAGACCTCTGGTACAGGCAGCACACCATGCTAACACGATAAAATCAACCAGTGGAGTTCCAGGTTGCCCAGGGAAGTGGATACCCCCTCCCTGGAAGTGTTCAAGGCCAGGTTGGATGGGGCTCTGAGCAACCTGGTCTAGTGGGAGGTGTCCCTGCCTAGGCAGGGGGGTTGGAACTAGAGGATCTTGAAGGCCCCTTCCACCCCAAACCATTCTGTGGTTCATGTGAGCAGTACGAGGGGAGGTTCTCAGGGACAAGGACCCTGCATATGAAGAGAGAAAAGAGCAGGGGCCTGTGCAAAGCACCAGAGAGGCACCAGTCTGCAATGGGAACTTCATATATTCAAATTTAATGAAAGCACAATATAAACATACCATAGCCACGACTTCAGACAGTTTCAGTTCATAAACAATAACATGAGGTAGACTGACTAGTGAAGCTAAATTCACCAAGTTTTTGGTTAAGAAAACTTTACACTAGGATAGCAACATTTTCAACCCTCTTCCAAAAGTCACAAAAAAGCAATTACATAAGTTAAGCAAAAAAAAAAAAAAAAAAAAAAGCATCTGCATATGATTCTTTAAATCTTAGTTTACATTCAAATTTAACCTGTGAATAGACAAGAACATCTACAGGTAAAATATAGCGCTGGCCGGCTGAATACATTCATAAGAACGGCCTTGAGGGTGAGGCTGGGAACCAAGATGGAACAGGAATCATCTAGATGGGAAAGAACATTCTCCTTCCCAGGGGTGCACAGGCAGCCAGTAAAAGTGTTCAGGGGGACAGGCCTGCACACCTGAGCTGGTGTGGGACGCTCTGGCCAGGCTCATGCTCACATGGGAGAGAGTGAGGGAAATGGATTTACTCTTGGTTAGGAAAGGTGGGACATTGACTTTCTGACTGCATTCTTGACCTTCAGGACAGTTTTGCAGGGCTTCACCAGAGGGCTAATGCCTCATCATAGTCTCAGCACCTGGAATTTTCAGAACTTAGTGCAAACATCAAATACTCAAACAAAAAAGGAAACCAGTTTTGAACGTCACACCTGAAGCTTCTGCACCACACTAGGACTCGGCCTCGGCCTGAAGCCCTTCTGGCAAAACCAGAACTACTGGAACACATTCAGGTGTGTAGCAAAAGCTTCCAGAAACGTCTTTTATATCTCTACTTCTATCAAGTGTCAAAATAGATAAGGCAGGTTCTGTCTGAAGGAAAAAAAAAATACATTTACAGAAACAGGTTGTTCATCTGAAATGTGCGAAACTTGACAGCAGCAGAGTTCAGCTACGCTAACACAGCCATATCAAGCCATTTTCCTTTCCTCTGTCAAATATATTATGTTTTTTTCATCTGTAAACATCTCTCTTCACAAGATACAAAAGGTTGCTTAATTAGCATTATGTGTTAAAAAAAAACACAAAAATGCAGCTTTGGCAGGTCCTTCTTTAATGACTTGCAGGTCAAGTATAAAGACGTGCGAATTTAATCTCTTTTTGGGGGGGAGGGGAGTAAGTTGATATTCCTGAATCATTTTTCAGAACATGCTGCATTTTTCTTTTTAATAAAGGGGTCATGATGTGCATGGAGATTATTACTTTTTTTTTTTTTTTTTTTTTTAATATGGAAACCTGAGTGGGGTGACCCACGCTCACAGCATGAGCTGGGATTTAACCCTGACAAGCAAAAGCTCCTGTACTGAGTTCATTCTGCAACAATTTAACAAGGATCAGTAACATGCTCCTAAGTACAACAATGTGAAACCCCAAACCTTAATAAAAAAAAAATAAAGGGCTGACAGTGGTTGGTGATGCCTTCAAAGCTCTTTGCTGCTGGACAGAGGATCTCCTGAGTGGTCCCAGCACCCTGGGACTTCTCAGCTACCCCCTCTGGAGCTATTTGTAACATCTCTTCTGTTTCTCTCAGCTCCTGCTTGGGCAGCATTGCACTCCTGCATTTTTTTTTGGCGTGTTTCTCCACAGATGGGTATGGTGACAGAAAAGGACACAGAGGGTACGTTGCACAGGGCCCACTGCAAAGGCATCAGGTGCGTGATGGGACTTGTCTCCATACACAAAGGAGGACAGACCACGGGTTTTGAGAACTCGGATGAGAGTGAGGAACTGCAGGTGTTTTGCTGGGAAGTTACTCTGGCCCCTAACTGAAGAGAGAGCATCTAGGAGGAATCATTTCCTTTGTCCCTTGAGTCAGGAGGTGTCTAAGGGGGGGAAATAAGGCTGCCAGGAGAACCTGTGCGCACAGTGCCTGCCACGCCTCCGCTGATTTGTTCAGGTTTAAGTAGTAAACTTTGAACACCTGTGGAAATTTTGCTAAAGACAGTTTCAATACATAACACAATTAAGAATTTTAAACTAACACTGCACAGAGAACAAGACTATTCCTTTTAATACAAATATCTAAGTTATATCGTAGTTTCAAACCCCTGAGTATTCCTGTACCACAGTACAGAGCTGAAGAGACACAGTGGGCTCTCCTCCACACATCCTCAATAAATTCCACATGCTGGGTTGCATTTCACATAACACATTCAAACTAGCAGCTGCTGGGAGCAGCTCCTTCCCCGAGCTCAGCGGAATATAAGAACAACTCTTCTTCAACCAAATCATGTCCTCTTCCTAGATCCTACAGCTTGGTTGTCTGTGTGATCAGTGTCAGCAGCTGTGAGACTGATGTGAAAATAACTGGAATCCAAGGTTGCTTTCAATCGTAACTGATGTGGCATTTTCATCCCTAGGAATAAAGCCTGCTTCAGAATTGTGAGGAATTCCCTAGAGCAGTCTAGATAAATATCGGTTGCACTTTGCTCCACAGTGATTGTACTTTTTTTTTTTTTTAAAAAAAAAAAGGTTTTTTTTTTTTTTTAAAAAAAAAAAGGTTTTTTTTTTTTTTTAAAAAAAAAAAGGTTTTTTTTTTTTTTTAAAAAAAAAAAGGTTTTTTTTTTTTTTTAAAAAAAAAAAGGTTTTTTTTTTTTTTTAAAAAAAAGGTCTTTTTTTTCTTTCTTTCTTCGTTAGCAGTGTCTTAGCAAAGCTTAGATATGGCGCCCGGTGAGGAAATAGAGCGGTTTGTCGTCGCTGCTGTTAGCTGTTTGAAACTCATCCCGCAGCCGGAACTGCCACTCATCCTCCAGCTCCAGCCGGACTATCGTCTGCCGTAAGGAGCTTCTGTCTTGACATATGACACACAGGGTGGCACCTTCAATCGAAAAGCACGTTAGGTTCTCAGGGCACAGTAACAACTCTCTTACCTTTGTTCGTTTTCCTAAGGTATTTTAAAGACATCCTTGCTGCGAGGTAGGAAAACAGAAGTATTAGAAGGGTCTATCAACAACCAGCCAGCCCAGACTCAGGTCAGTCCTGGGAGCCCCAGGACACAAGCACTTGTGTCCTCCTGCAGGAAGGCATGGACAGGGAGAAGCAAGTGTGATACCACAGGATGTCACTGCTTGACTGGTGCTGGTATCATCAGCTGGAGCAGAGAGAACACTAACTTGAATCCAAGATCCTTACATCACCACTGATAATTACACCATAAGAATAAAGCCTGCTTTTTTTGTTTTCTGTTTGCTTCATGGGATATTTTGGTTTGTACAAGGTCAATGATGAAACCACTAGGCCAAACCACAGTCAGGCCCACAAATGACTTCTGAGAAAATCTGCTGTAACTTCCCTTAAGTACAAGAGCTCTCCTTCTCCTTGGTAAAGCACTGCAAGAGGAATACTAAACCAAACCCCAATTCTTCAGGCTTAACCAACTTGCAAGCTTCCTTCCACCAGGTGTAGCCAGAATGTGTAGTCATTTAATGAGCA